CGCACAATGTACGCACGAATGAACTGGAAATGGTTGCATTGAACGTACTCACGTACGTAGCAACTTCGCCTAGCCTGCGCTTCAGCTTTCAAAGTGCATGCAAGCGTTATAACTGTTACCGAGCGTGCCATTGTATTCAAATGGATGATCCGTGAATTCATGGTCATTTTGATGAACTGAGTAATATCATGCACGCATGTTCCGTGTTGCGTGTGGTTTGGAGAAACTTGATATGTACCTAAAACGGATGTGTTTATAGATGAACATTTAAGTGACGTCACGATGACGTCATCACGTGACATGTGACGTCACATTAAAAGTGCAAATTGTGAAGGCCAATGGGGTTGAAACTTTGGATGTACCCTAAAACAGATGTGTTATAGATGAAACTTTAAGTGACGCCACGGTGACGTAATCATGTGACATGTGAGGTCACATTAAAAGTAGATATTTTGAAGGCATATATCGACAGGACAACATGTCCGATTGGGTTGAAAGTTAGTATGTACCTAGATCGGGATGTGTTATAAATGAAAATTGAAATGAGCTCATGATGACGTTATTTAGTGATATGTGACGGCCTATCAAAGGTGCATATTTTGAAGGCCAATATCTACAGAACTCTGTTTGTCCTGATCACTCTACCGCACATCATATCAGTCTTACATGACATATAACTATACAATAACAAAATTACCAAAATAGCCGTATGTTTGTACACAAACATAATTAAATTTAGTTACTCTTGTAACTCGAGGAATCAACCAAAAACACAAAACATGCTATTCTGTGTTATCTTATCTTTTATTATCACATCTCTGAACAAAATTTGGAAAAAAGAAGAAGTACTCAATTTACAGGTGCTAAAACCAAGTCTGCTGTTAAGAAAAAAAAGCCAAAGCTAGGATAGCATACATGCTGCAGGGCATTGGTGATGTTGGTGGAATTTCTACATTTCTTATTTTAAAAAAAATGAATTCTTGTTTGAAGAACTATTTTCTTGTCTCACTGCCTAGAAAAAAATTTTAGGGAGTGACACAAGAACAATTTTCTTAAAATTTTTACATTTTAAAACTACCATTTTTAACAGTAGGGTGATTTATGAGTAGGCAGGCAGGCGATTATCTGCGATGAGTCTTTATGTGGGAGAGAAATCCAATGTACGAGGCACATTGTCTCCCACAGGTGCTATGGCAAAGACTCCCCAGAGGTTGTCCCTGTTTTCCTCTCTCTTTCTCTCCTCTCACTGGTGGCTGCTGCTCTCCTCTGTTCAAACATCTCTGTGCCCTTGGCACCGACTTACTGCCAGAGGAACCCGTCCTGAGCACAAGCTTCCCAGGAGCAAATGGCCTTCAGTCTGTCCTTGTACCTCTTGTATGGTCCACCTTGTGCGTGATGGCCTTCTTTACAAAGCTGACCATACAGAAGGATCTTGGATTTCGGGTATCATCCATACGAACTACATAGCCTGACCAACAAAGCTGGCTCTTGATAAGCAAGCATTCAATGCTTGAAAGACCACACCGTTCAAGGACTTGCAAGTTTGAGACCCAGTCTTGCCACTTGACGTTGAGTAGCTGTAGTAGGCAACGTTGGTGAAACTGCTGAAGTTGCTTAATATGGTGCCTATATGTGGTCCGAGTTTCACAGCAGTAAAGCAGTGTGCTAAGTACAACAGCCTTGTACATGGCAATTTGGGGTTGAGCTTGATGCCATGGTCTTTTCAAAAGAAAAATAATAATCAGGAAATCTGGAGATAGGAATTGATATTCCTTTTTAAAGAGGCTAGAATGAGAATGGAGGGAAACAGCCCTAGGCAAGGCCTTCCAAAGAGATACAGAGCGTGGGAAAAGCTATTATAGTAGCTCTTTGTTCTACATCTCGGCACAGCTAAAGTGCATGGGTGAGAGGAAGCAGAGAGCCTGGTTGTCACTCAAACACCCTGACATGAGGAAACAAGTCAAACAAACTGGTGGGACAATTTCCATTGAAATATCTGTAGAACAGACTGAAGATGGTTACTGACCTACGGTGAGAAAGGGTTGTAATGATGAGCCCAACTCTTCACCAACCACATAAACAATTCGCTTCTACATCCGATCTAATAGAGATAAATGGCAGGCAGAAGCTCTGGCCCATATGTGGGAACAGTATTCCATCAGGGGACGTATAGCAGGTCGAGTAGCTTGTTAATTTCTGGGTTATTTTCATCAAACCAGTCTCTGTGAATTCTCTCAACAAATCCAAGGGTGTCAGATGATATCGTATAGTAGTGCTGCAACTGATCCTCAAAGTTTGGTTCAGTTCGGTTCGGTTGCAGTTCGATTTTTTTTCTCCAAACTTCGGTTCGGTTCGGCTTCGGAAGTGTATACATAATGTACATCATACAATGTATTAGGTTAATACAATAAAAAGCATATACATACCGGTAGGCCGTTCCCCTGTTCGAACAAACACGTGTGTACCGCGCACGTCTGACAGAAATAGGCCCCGCAATTTCCACATGCTATTCAACACAAGTTGAAGGATGAATCTTATTTTTATTGCGTTAACAATATTCCGTTATAATTTGACTTGATGACGTTGAGAAATGAACATCGTAAATTGCTAGAGGGTTACCTATCGCAGCCCTATCCGGCCCGGCAACTATGATAAAATTGGCGATCGTGTAGTGTAGGGCCCGACTCCTAACTTAAGGGAACAAAATCTACTTTAAAATTATGAGACAGATGAAAGAAGTTGGTTCTCAATAAACAGGTATGTCATAGATGGAGGGCATGATTTTTTTTAGGGAAATTTGGGGGTAAAATGACAATAACAGCGCGGCGACACAACACGCAACCCGAAAATAAAGATGGCATTCACCGCGCGAGGTACCATGAGTGAGCAAGTACGGTGCGCTGAATCGCAAGGTGCAAACTGCGCACGACAATCATGATTTCTACCTCAAGAAACTGTTCAAAATTGCAAAACGGGTGTCATTAGAATTGAGAAGTCTGCTTTTGATTATAAAGGTGATTTATTTAGCAATTTGACTCTAATTTGATCAAAACAAAACAGAGGCCCTACGCTACACGATCGCCATAAAATTTTCCCACACGTGCCGACGGGTTTTCCCGAAGAGTTCCGTCCCGTCTGAGCATGCCCTGATGAGCACTAAAAACTTGTCTCGTGGCAATAATTGCCGAATAGTTTTGTTTTAACAAACAGGTCCTTTTACTGTGCCAAACTTATGAAATCATGATTATTATAACAACAAGCTTGCAAATAGTAGCTACAGTAAAAAAAATAATAACTTTTCGATTCGCGATCCATGAATATTCATATTGTGGACGGATCCATTAATTTTGTAAAGGGGTGTTTCACCCTCTTTTGGGAGATTACATCGTTTTTCGTATTCATTATATTACGAAAAAAAAATATATTGCGAAAATTAAGAACTTATTCTGAACATGGGAAAGGTTTCAGACTCCATAAAAAGTTGGGTTTTTTTAATTCTGATACGGTGAAAAAATTGAAAATGCTGGCAGGTGCAGCATGACTAGTCATATAGTATGGCTAGTCATATGGGGGTACTATTGCGAAAACTCTAATAGAAAGGAACCTGCCAGTAAAGGGAATATGCAATTTGGACATTTGGGTTCGGTTTGGTTCGGGTTCGGTTCGGTTCAGTTCGGAAGGCCAAGTTCGGCTATTTTTAGTTCGGTTCGGCGGTTCGGCGGTTCGGCTGCAGCACTATCGTATAGCAAATCTCTGAAGATCGACCATTCTTCCTCCACATTTTCACCAGTGGGTTCTGTGTATTGAAGGGTCTCTCAGATTTTTGCCTGTATTATGTTCTTGGCGACACAGAGGTGGGCAATGTTGAATTTCTTGACTGGTTTCTGCCTCGCTGTATGAGGCTTAGGAGCAAGCTGAATGTTCATCTAGCTTCGCACTAGTCGGTGATCGGGCAAACACTCAGCTCCTGTCATGCTGCTGGGATGTTCACATTGCGTCTGTCTCCTTGGCGAACGATCACACCATGGCATATTCCAACATGTGCCATCCACGTGGTCTTGTATTTGTTTGCATGTGGAAAGAGAGTGATGGACAATTCATGCTGAACACAGAGAAACAGCAGAAGCAGACCGTTGGAGTTGCACTTGCCAGTGCCATGGTGTCCAAGTACTCTCGACCATGGGGCATAGTCCACTCCCACACGGGAATTGAAATCACCAAGGATGATGAGTTTGTCTTTTCGGTTGACTTCACAAATGATATGAAAAAGCTCATCATAAAACGCTTCCTTAACATCATCAGGATTAGTCACTGTAAAGAAATACCGTAGCAGCTGAACATTGTGGCAAACAAGTCCTTATCGAGCTTAAGACACAAGGTCGTCAATCTGTCATTTATCCCATGAGGAAGGCTATCAGGGCATTTCACAAGGTTTGTGCGAATGGCAAACCCTACGCCACAGGTTCTTGGAAGGGCAGTGGAAGATGTAGCCTCCCTGAACTTCTTCTAGCTGTGTTTCACCAGCGAACCTCATTTCGCTCAGAGCTGCAATGTTTATTTGAAAGCGATCAAGCATCCTGGCGATGAGTGCTGTCTGGTGTTCTGGTCTATCGTCTCTGTCCAGCAAAGTACGGACATTCCAATTCCAGAGGTCAATAGGTGAGAATTGCATTTCTAATGGTTCTTGCAACCGCTCAGTTGGATGACCAGGCAGGCGCGGCCACCTGCCAGGCGCAGCATGACTAGTCATATCGTATGGCTAGTCATATGGGGGTACTATTGTGAAAACTTAGTGAAGGGAACCTGCCAGTAAAGGGAATATGCAATTGTAGTGAAGTAGACTTAGCCGATATATTTAAGCAACTATGGGCAAAGTTGCAGAACATTCAGAAAAGAAAGGGGAAAAAACCTCTAAAACAAAAGCTGGAAATGTCTAAAAAGCTTACAATCTCTCAGGGGTAGAAGCAATGTTATTGTATTTTAGGATTTTGTTTACTTACCATGAGCCAAAATAAGTCCAACAGCACTTGACTGACTGAGTGGGCTTGATGGCGCATTCACCCCTTTAATCTGGCTGTAACGATTATGGATCTGCAAGCTACACGACTAATATCAGAATAAGCAAAAACAGAGGAAATCAGTTGCAGAATCTACTGACTAGAGCTCTAGTGGATTGTTTACAAAACTATGACATTACTTTTCACTCAATTGTTTAATGAAAAATAAAAATAACAAAAAGCTGTAAATGTCCCTCAACTTGCTGGGAAGGGTTTTAGAGGTCTTTATCCATTTCCTTTCAAACATAATGATTTTGATCTTTTGGACAGGAATTAACTCGCAGTCCATGCATCCCAAACTGATAATTGTTACAGCAGAGTATAGCTAAATTTTAATTCCCTATCCGACCTATAACTCTGTGCCATGATTGTTATTGTTAGTAACTGGTACCTAAAGTCGCATGTGCATTGGCTATTAAATGTTGTCATTTGGCCCTTGTGTAATAGTGGAATTTAGTGAGTTGTTTGAGTGAACTTGTAGTATGAGATAATGCAGTATCTTGCAACGGGGTATTTAAGTATGGTAATGAGCTTGTGTAAGCAAATCACTAGAGACTGATGTAAAAGTGATGTGCATGTTGATGCAGCCATCTTGGCAGTTTATTTCATCAAATAAGCCATCTCTACAGTTAATGCAGTTCTGTGAGGCTTTTGGAGTGTGGCTCAGACAAGAACCAGTTGTGTAATCAAGGGGAGGGGAGGTGGGTGCAGACTGGCAGAGTGCAAAAGGCTAGAGATTTTAAACGTAAAATTGGGGTGCTGATAGCAAAATTGGAACTGCGAAAATGGATTAAAAATGTGAAATCGGAAATGGGATGCACGATTGTCGCTGGACGGGAAGTGTGACATCCCCCTTAATGGTTTTTTTTTTTTTTTTTTTGCTGTCGGCAACATGGTGAGTCCATCTGCAAATGTGCCCGGATGCCTATAGGCCGATAGCACCCATGATCATCTACTTCAAACAGTATCCCCTAGAGGAAGATGGTGTCCAGTCCAGTCCAATCCCCAGGCCCCCCCCCCCCCACACACACACACAATACTTTAATTATGTGCCTGACAAGAACATGTTAGTGCGACACTGGCAATTTATACAATCAATGTTCATTGCATGCTGAATCATTATTGTATCTTGAGAATACAATATCTCACAATTTGGGTGTACCATTTCTCACATTTTGAATGTATCATAAATATTTTATATATAAGTGACCACTTGATGTGTTAATTGTATAAATGATCTGTGTTTACAAGTTCATTCTTTTTCAGTTTGTATGACAATAAGTTGTTTTTAGATGTGAAGACAGTTAGTTAATTGTGTTTGATTGCGAGATTCGATCCAGATTTCCTTAGAATGTGGTCAAATTGGCAATTGCATTTTTAAGTGACTTTAAAGTTGGATTTGGATTGTCTCTTGACACTTGATATTGTGTTGGAGTTGGAATTATGTACATTGTATGACATTTAATAGTACCCAAATGGTGGAATTGTGACCAGAATTTGAATGACGGAAGAATTTACTTCCTTGCTCGCAACTAATGTTGCTTTTAGTATTGTACTCAAAACCTGACTGAATAAGTTCCTGCATGTTAAATACAATTGGAATTCTAGTGATTCCTCAGGTGCAATTGGCACCCTTGGCTATACTTCAGGTGTCATTAACACCCAAGGGCATAGAAAGTGGTATGGATTACATCTACATGAGTACGTCTGTGGATGTACCATGTGAGGAGAAATCTCTTTCCTCTCCTCAAAACAGGCACAGCATACAGTCTGAAACAATGTGCTTTCACAAGTTCGTTCTTTTCAGTACCACACAAACATACCAAACATGTTTCTTGTCACATAGTGCAACAACAAACTTACTCTTAATGCTGATTTCACAAGATGCAAACCTTCAAATCCTTGTGTTACAATTATGGGGAAGTGCCAAATTGCCACTGTTTTCCAGTTTGTCCTATCTGATGCACTTCAAGTGTGTATGTCGAAAATGCATTCATATTGTCCATGCAACATCAATGTAACATGCATACATGTACTCACTGTTGCTGAGTTTTTACACTTGGAGCCTTTAGGAGCCTTCACAGGATGCCAGATGCCACCACGATCAAATGTAATATTTGTATGAATGGATAGATCATCACCAACCTGGCTTGCCATGTACACACCACGCATAGATGCTACACGGTAAAAATCAGTTGTGGCAGAACCCTCAGCAAACTAAAACAAAGTAGCAACAGAAGATATAAAATATTTTTAAATTTTTTTTTACGAGACAACAAGGGTAACGACCAATAATGAGTTATTTCAACCAGATGCAGATAAACTTAAGCACAGTTTAAAGGCTAGTCACAACATATCGTGTCAGATAACATGACCACTTTTTGAATGCACCGCAGTGGTGAGTTTCTCTGAGTTGTGAGTTTTCTGTCTGTACAAAGGACAAGCCAAAATGATCAGGGCGATTGTTATATTTAATATGTTTCATATGTGAGTTCATTTTTGGAAGATTTAAGAAACAGGTGCATTTTCATAGAAACTGTAATAGGTGTGGGCTTGGTTGCATCAGCTGAGGAAAATATCTGTTCATTTGCAGACTAAATGCAGTTACACCAGCTGCTGTGTGTCATTATCCAGTACACTAGACTCATACACCAGTCGGTTTGTAGGAAATCAAACTAGTAATTACAAATAGAAACAGAGATGAAAGATGTTCCTCGATTTTAGATTGTCACAATTCAACTTTACAATATTCTGTAACAGACAATCTCTGTAAAAATTTATTTGAGAGTGTATGCCTTACCAAGTGTTTCTTGAGAGATACAGAGAACACAATTCCATCAGCATCAGATGTATACAGAGTTCCAGAACCTGTGTCTGAGTAAGGAAGAATAAACATAAAATGCGGACATAAGAAGCTAGGAATAAGGTTTGCGAATGACACCACATGAATAATGATCATGTTTGTTTGCAAGGGTGCTGTGATATAAACCACTCTCACAACCAGGTCTTTTAGAACCAACATTTGTCAGAACCAAAATGAGAGCATCAAGCTGATCCTAATGCATACATGTTTAGAATAATGACTGCAGACAATTTCGGCATAGAAAACTGTTGATCATCCGCTCTGACAAGCCTTGCGGGGTCCCCTACATTCCCTGCTTCATATTTTCTTAACTCAATGAAATTTAGTTTACTTAATACTTTGTCATGTTTATGTAATACATACTATAAACATTGTATTTGTACTTTTTGCCTGAGATGGAAATAAAGTCAAGGAATTAATTTTAATCTTCTTTAACCCCAACCACACTGAATCCATCAAAATCCATATCCCTGTTTTGGAGTATTTCGGCGGATTCAGGATACCAATACCTTCATATTGAAAGCAGGGGGATTTTATGGACTGAGGATTGCAAGCCTAGCGGTAGGGCATTCTGCAAGATTTTGATGGATTCAGGATACCTCCATACTGAGCAGTCACCTACACCAACATTTTTGTGCATGACACAATAGGTGGATTTTGGCGGATTCACGATACTTTCTTGTAAAGATACCCAAGGGGTTAGGGTTAATGAAGCCAATACTTCATGGAATAAACAAGCAAAAAAAATACTTTAACAAAGTTGATTTTCAAAGTCAAATAACCAATTTTCAATGTTAAAAATTCCCATTTAAATTAAAAATAACCTCAAGGGGACTGTACATGTAAGTGACTGCAGGAGTTTAAACTTTGGTTTATATTCACAAATACGCCAGTACAGGAACTTGAAAACCCTGATTCGATTGTTGAAACAGTTTGATTATAAAACTGTGATCATGGATTGTGGTGTATTTCTCAATGGGATGCTATTGTGGTCATTTTAACTATAGTTTTAAAGTTTTAAAGCGTTCTAGACTCAAGCCAAAGCAACATATATTTAGAGCAGCTCAAGTCCATCCAAATAGCATTTCGGTTCAGACAGTCAAACTTTATGAACTAACTTTCAATTGACAGCATTATTGAGTCATTTTTTTAAAATAAAATATGCAACAATTGATTTTTGGCATGTAGTTGCGATTACTTGTGTCAAGTATCGAGCTTAAGTTTGCAGAGATGCAAGTGGCTTTTGGAGAAAATCTGAAAATAGGCAAGAGGTCGCCAACAGAAATCTGGCTATGAAAGGACAAACATACAAACGGCATGGAGCACACTTGTGGTCGGTGATTGTTATATGTGAAGATCTACATCTACAATTTATTCTGAAACCTTGTAATATTTGATGCTTTAAACTACATGGTATTACAAAATGATGAACTGATACTACAGCAAACACAATGCCTACAAATAATTTTGTTCCTTTTTTTTTCACCAAATTTGTGAGGAAATGTTCAATTTTAACAGTATAAAGTTAATGGGGTGTAACAGGAGTTGTGCTGTACAGTCATTATAAAGCACAGAAGTATCAAAAGACCCTACCTCCTTCATCATCAACATGCATGAATAGCATCCCTTCATTCATGTCCAACACAGAAAAGAACTGAAAGAAAGACAAGACCAGTATTGTTAAACAATTGATAAATTACAATGTACATGTAAAAGAAAAGACAGTCTGCTTTTAAAAGGTTATTTCTGTAAAACTGTTCCATTTAGACTTACTACATGTATATTATGATATCAGATCAGGAAATGTAAATGTTCATGTAACATATTTCATTTCCATGGTTTTCACTTCAAACCGTCCTGATAATTGGCTTCAGACCCAAGAAAAATACACTTTTTTAAGCCCCGATGCCAACTGAAACCCCTCTCTGAACCAAAATTATAAGTAAATTAACTAAATAAATAAATAAAGTACACTTTTTGTAAAATAAATTAGTAATAATCTATTCATTTCTGAAGTGCAGATTCTACAAAATATGTTCAAATGAGCTTTACATATTCTTAAATTTCTTAAAAACACTAACAAATCAAAAATTACTTCAACTAATACAAACTTCTATCAAAATGCAAATAAAGAAAATACAGTCCAAAAGTTTTATTAAAATTGGACTATGTCAATGATTTTGTAAAATCATATTTTGATTATGTTACAAGATGTCACATATTTTCAAGTCCTTTGCATCAGTGTTTAATCTTGGTAAATTGTTACAAAAGAATTTAGCATGTTTTGTTTGCCACATATACTGAATAAAAGAATTATAGCTCTCTCTTATCACCTACAGTTATCCATTAAACAATTAACTATCCATTCAAACAATTATAGCCATGTTAGGCCAAGTAGGAAGTTTATTGGCCCTACCATGGCTTATATTAATAACAACTGGGCGTGGGAGAGGGGGAAGGGGAAGGGTGGTGGTGACAGAAACACGCTACCAACGTTGGGGTGTATCTCGTTCCCTTTGTAGACAGAAGTGTGCACACATCGCGTGCAAACAAACCCAATATTCACTGTACAAACCACCTCGCATTGTACACGATTGTACGTATGTACGCACACAATACACATATAGCGTTGAGCTGACAGCGGGATGATCGATCAACAGTTGACCACATACAGTGTGACCATACAGAGATAAACCCATCCAGTTAATAGTTACAAACAATGTTACGGCACACTGGTTGAGTCAGGCACCTAACTGTGCTACAGCGAAAAAAACATTTTGACTTTCGTCATGTTCATAAATTTGACCAAAAAAGGTCATGTTGAATTGACGGATTTCCTTTAAACGACTATGGAGTAAAGATGCGACCTACCTGTATGTTGATCATTTCAAGGAATAAAAACAAAATGTTGAAGAAGCGTTTTCACAAAATAGATTGTTTTTATGCAGGAAGTATGAGATTTTGTCACAATGCATGTATTTTGACGAAATCCTTGAAACTTGGCAAACACAGGTCTACTGCTATTCATGGTTTAACGGTTAGTTTATTGTACAAGTTACTTTCGGTAACCTAAATTGCTGAAAAATGGGGGGGGGGGAATCTGAAACACAGTTAATTTATTTTCTTTTTTTTCCCCCGGCGACGGATATGGAACATTGATCCAGTTTGTTTCCCCGGCGACGGATATGGAACATTGATCCGAATAATGTCAAAAAAACAACAACCCAATAACACTTTTTTCAGTCCATTCTAATATCTTATCTCTCATCTGTGAAAGTTTAAATTCAATACCTAGGCAGAATTAATGGAGTTACTAAGTAAGAAAGAGCGAAGAATAATTAACTTCTGGGTTTCCACACACGCGGGCGATGGCCACTCTTTTTACCGAGAAGAATCCTCATGTTTGCTACAGCCGTGCCGAGCTAGCTACAATCCTGGCAAAATCTCGCTGGGCCCCCAACCCCCCAGCCCCGGTCAATGTTGTCTCTCATTGCGCGGTGTGTGCTCCATCCGCTGGAGAGAACAACATTGACCGGGGGAGCGGGGGAGTTGGTGACCGTTGGAGGCTAAGGTTATTTCCAAGTGTCCCAAGCATTTTGGCCGGGATTGTCTGAATGTACAATAGCCTTGATATTGGATTTGGATATTGCGCGTAGTATGCGCTCAAATAATAATACACACACGCGCGCGCTGGTAACATGGTCAATGCACACGATTCACCATGACGGTGCACCATGTCATTTTGGCCGATATTTTTACAAAATACAGATTGTGTTCAACGTGAAAGCCGTATTGGATACACAAACAATGTATCGTCTTCTTCAATTTGATTTTAATCCCTCATTTGGACGAAAAATCCATCCAAACCATAGTGTAACCACGGTTCACCACTGTAAATTATATAATAAGCAGTCACTCAATTCCTTTATATTTTGGTTTGGATGGATCACCGATGGATTTTTCGGCAAATTAACGGAATGAGTGAATACAAACAAATTGACAAGGATTGTATATTGTCTGTGTATAATAATGAGCCTTTCAAGTTAAACACAAACTGTATTTTGTACAGTTGTTGCCAAAATGGCATGTTAAACCGTCATGGCGAACCGTTACGATGCACGCAACAATAAAGTTGTGATTTTAAATCATTGGAACATTTGTATTTTTAAATTTCCATTTTTGTTTTACTATCAATCATTATTATCAGGCCTAAATATGTGTTCTTTCATTCAACCTTCGGCCGCCATTTCATATTTTGGAAACAAAACTCAAGAAAACAGCTCCCCAAACGGCATGTCATGCATATTTTGAAAAATGAAAAAAATAAGACAATCTTGGCCAAATCTCGCTGGGCCCCCAACCCCCCAGCCCCCGCTCAATGTTGTCTCTCATTGTGCGGTGTGTGCTCCATCCGCTGGAGAGAACAACATTGACCGGGGAGCGGGGGAGTTGGTGACCGTTGGAGGCTAAGGTTATTTCCAAGTGTCCCAACCATTTTGGCCGGGATTGTAGCTAGCTAGAAGGTCGTACCATTGTGAAAATACAGGGTATGAAAAGGGGTGGGTTAATATTTTGAGGGGTCAAACGAAAAGAAAAAAAAAACGGCCAAGAGTTACCAAAATGGCGACAAAAAGAATATTACATTTTGAAAAGTGATGTTTAAACTTCAAATTTATCTTTGATTTAGGGTGATTTTTGAAAGAAAGCCATGCGAACATCCCTTTTAAAAATGATGTGTTTCGAACAGCGTCATCAAATTCTGCCATCCGGGAACTTTTTACACCAATTTGTGGTCAAGTTCCCAGTATACATTCGCGTTTGCTGAATACGCGATGTAATCGGGAGCCGACTATTAGTACAGCACTGCACAAAATGTGTGTTCGCTCATACCCCCGCCCTGCAAACAGGGCGCTGGGATACTCTGATGAGCTTCACAGAATCTTGTGAAGGAAATGGCCTATGACCTATGTATAAAGCATCTGGCTGCAGCTGTTCAAAACCGCAGTTAGACAATATGTGCAAATGCTATCCGAAAACTTCCCATAGAAATGCACACGTTCCATATCAGATGTGATTTCTGTTTCATTGCGGACCATGTGGACAAAATTTTGAGCGTCGCATAATGCAATCCGACCGTTCGTGATTCGAAACGGAGCCTGAGCAAGTGAAGGGAATCGTAAATTTAAAACACAGATAAGTTTTACAGACTTTCCTACATTATTACGCTTTTCAAAAAATAAAATAACATCTCTAAACTGGAATAAAAGAGTAATGAATCAGTCTTAAAGGCCGTTTCAAACCTTGCAGAGTCATGACCTTGATGACGCTCAGATCACTGGTCACGCAAAATCCAACCAATCAGAGCATGAATTCATCAGAGTATCCCAGCGTCCTGTTGGCAGGGCGGGGGGTACGAGCGAAAAAATGTGTGTTGATGCAGTCACGATGTTTGTCATCGGTGGCAAAGTCAAAGAGCCGAAAACATCAGGTTAGAAGAGGGTTTCATAACTTTTCTAACAAAATGCCTAGCACTTCATTTGAAGTGCTTATTATTTTTGGTACTCATGATAGTTTACAAAGGATCTTTCCATGATTATTGTAGAATGTTGAACTGCAAATGCAATCAAAACATTTTGACAGCTGGGCGCCGTGACACTAGCTTGGCAGATATACTTGCTGTAGGCCTAATTCCCAATGGCATGGCCATTGACTTTTATAGATTCTCTGAGTCAATATATCAGACACGTCTTTCAAATCACTTTAACACTAATTTTTCAAATATAAATTATTTCATTAGGGGATTTATGTTTTGTTCAGATTTTATTCTGGTATTGTTTTGTTTGCTGTCACTGTCAGTGTTATTTCTTTTTTCCCATGACAATCATGACAATCATGACAATGTAAATAATACTTTTTATAGGCCTTCCCTAGCATGCCTAGAAATAATAATTGTGAATATTATTTTAACGTCAAGTTTCCATGGTAACGGTTTGAATTCAGCAAATGTTGACTTTTTTGGGGGGGGGAATTGGATTTTCACTAATTCCCTAAATCGGATATTCACTATTTTCCAAATTTGTTTTCCTAAATCTACTGGTGCAATACCCTTATATAACAGGGCAATTGGTCATCTGAAAAAAAAACCCCACATTTTTCAAATTGTCTTCAAACAAAATCTGATATACAGGGCGTCCTGAAAAATGGTGCATGTAAACCCCTCCATTTTTGCTAATTTACAACCAAAATTTTCTGAGGATGTTTACAAAATCTTCAAGGTAATAGATTTAGCTTGAGAATACCGTTTTTTTCATTGGGATTGCTTTTGTAAATCCAGAGATATGTTTGAATAACGGCAAAGCCAAGAAACCCATTTTGTGCCACTTTCTGTGAAGCAGTTAAAATCAGTATAGCCCTAGTCTAAAACCAAATCACTTTACTCTTAGTGATTTTAAAATTTTAAGCAGAGTGTGCAATATTTATTTATATTTAATTGAACTCTTTCATTGAAGTTTTAAAGAAGTGAACCTGTCTGTACAATTAAATTGTTTCAACATATAAAACAAAACATGTACATGTCATCTGGGGCAAATTTTTTTTTTTTTTTCCTGCCTGACAACCCTTCTCAGCACCTTAGAAATCCGTAAAACAATAAAATTGGAATGGCCTAAAACGCTAAAGAGATCCCATGCTGGTAATAGCCTACACATGGGGGGGGGGGGGCACGAAACAAACATCCCCCGGGGAGTTGGCTGATAGTTTGATTGTCTGACACTGAGGAACCATCCGAAAAGCCTCCATGAATAGCTGCTATAGCAGAATGATAATTCTTAACGGTGACCGTAGTAAGGTTACTTTCAAAGAAGTATACCAGAAAGTCTGAAATCTCCCCTACAGAAGTATCTGAGGGATGCAGAGATCTGCTTTTACACCATCTGTAAAATGGCGTAGTCTACTGTCACAAATTGTCCTGGTAGATGCTTGTTGGCTGCAGGCTACAATGGCTGCAGCTCATTCAGAAAGGCCTGCTGTGCGGAGGGGCTGCATGATAGTACCCAGCACGTCAGGTGAAGATCCCCTGGAGCCAGGTGAAGAAAACCCGAGCTGGGCTGGAACAGCATGTCCGTTCTCTGCAGAAGAATGACTGGTCGGTGAACCAAGAGTTTGATGAGTCTTGGGAACCATGGCCGGCGAGGCCAAAAGGGGGCGATAAGGAGAACCTTGCAGACCTCTTGCTCCAACTTGGTCAGTACCCGAGGTATGAGGGAGAATCGAATCGGGCCGTTGTTGTCTCTGGTCCTCCCAACCTGTATGGCCCACGGGCGACGCATGTAAAGCGCTCGCTGTAGGCCGGGCTTCCGGTGTACAATCAACCACGTGTGGTATCTCGTTGTGCTTGGGCCACCCAACCGTGACCAATGAACGACGATTGTGAAGAATTCACCGCAGGTAGGGACTCCAGAGCACAGCTAACTGTGTGCAGTATGTCCCTTGTTCACAGGCCACCCAGCCGTGACCGGTGACTGAAGACTGTGAAGACTGAACAACGGGGGTCCAAAGGAACAACGGAACAAATCTGATGACAAGAATGGTCCCTCATAGCCAGATAGAACTTGATCCGTCCCATGGGAGAGGAATTCCCCCCGGCTTGTGACAGACCAGTCCTCTCCAAACGCTTCATAACTATGAACTAATCAATCAATAAAACGAAAATATACTCTACAATACACTTTTTTAATCAATTACTTCTCTTAAAAGCGCAGGGTATAAAAAAGCGATATAAAAAACCCTGATTTTTATATGTCATACCCGACTGCCGCTAAGAGAAAATGATGGGGGGTATTATGGGTAGGGCACCTGAGGGCGCTATTGTATTAAACTCTTAGCGTAAAATACCTGCCGGTATAGGGAATATGCATAAGTAGATTGCTCTACAGGTAAGTTGAGTGAAGTAGACCCTTACATTAACAACACAAGTTTACTTTGTACTTTTAACAAGATGATAACTGCTGTGGATCGTTCACTTATCCACAGCACCAATTCCAAGAGCCAAAAGAGGGAGAGTGGCTCGGAACAATACACAATACAAGTAATAGAGGACATGAGCCACCTGTAATTCATGCCTGATTTCAATGGTCATCAATACATTAATTTGAAATGCAACAAAAGAATATCCATAACATGCAACACTACATATCCTACAACACTGACCCCAGGTGATAGTTGCTCATTTGTTTGTATTGACCCTAATACTCAAAATGGACAAAATTGACAAAATGGACAATCACGCCTTCCTTAAACCATCAAGGCTACTACCGGTATTTAATGCAGTTTGACAAGAGACCCTCCCCACCCCCGATTCTGAGATTCACAGTTCCTGGCTCACTGATTTCTCTTGCTTAAGTGCAAGTAACCCCTAAATAGGAGACCAGGTCGGAGGAAGGTCATTGATTGCATCAATCGAAAACAAACCAAAACAGAGAGATTTGAGGCATCGGCATTGCATTACGCATGTTCAGTATGTTTTATACAATGTATCCATTGTGAACCAAAGTACATACAGGCTACACATCAAAGCCACTGCCAAGCACTTAAGTCACTTAGCCAATGTAAAGATTTCCTGTGTGATTGCATTTTGAGCTTCACAAAAGACTTTTACCCTCGAGAGTGTAAACTGTAAAACTAACTTTCAATATACAAAATACATGTATATCACTACGCATGTAGCAGACAGTGATGTTCAACCATGAGGTGCCAGCATTGACTCCGTCACACACTTGTAACATGGTCTGCTGACAAACCATATAGAGTGCGGTCCACTATAGTTGGCTCAATCTTCAAGTAATCTTTGACATAGTAAAATAATCCTTGACAGTTAGAAACTATTTTCAAGTCCATTTACAAACAATGTAGTAACCAAATGAGACATGCTTCTGTGAAACTTGGAAAAAGTTAATAAATTTTGTTTTCTTATAATTTTGGCATTTTTAATTTTTATGGAAGTAGGTCTCAAATGAGATTTCTTTACTCCGTTCAATTGTCAGATGAATTGAAATCTGGTAATTTTTTTTTATTTTGAAGTTACAACCTTTTAATTTGATTGATCAATGAAGTTACACGACAGTGCCCAGATATTCATTTCAAATTCCCTGCAGAAACTCACCTGACTTTATCAGAGGCTAAATAAAAATAGCGTCAGTAAACTATCCATAGTAATTCTGTTTCTTTCCTTACCCGGTCACTGGTGACAACTGGAAGCTGTGTAGGGCTCCACGTCTTACCATCATCTTTAGACACATAAAGTATTCGTCCATTATCCCCCTGTCACAAATATGAAAGAAATCACCCTTCAAAACATTATTTGGTTAAAGAAAAAAACACTGTGCAAATGCTCTTTGTAATTCCTCGTACATTTGTTCATAAATTATAGCTTTGTGGAGCGCTGTGGTCCACTGGTCACAGTGTTTTCGACTCAAGTGCCGTGGTACATGGGTTTGAACCCCGATGGGGAAAATGGTGCTTGTGTTCTTGGGTAAAACAGTCTCCAGCCAGGAGTACAAATGGGTTCACATGGGTAGATACCAAATGTGCTGGGGCGGATTGCAATAACGCAGTCTTAGTCGGCTGGCTAAACCAGTCCAATTTTAGCCAGCTATTGTTCTTAGACGGTCTTGGTTAAGACACCAAACTTAGCCCATTGCAATAAGCTGGTCTTTACTAAGCCCGCTTAGAGTAATGATTCACAAACAAACATTCCATGGTTACGGGCAAATACTGGAGGGACTGCACATTTATTTTTTAAGGTTTGTGTGATTCATATCATGCGATATCAAATGTCAATTCCGAAATTTTATGTTGAGAAAATTGTATTTGCAGTACAACTCAGTGTCATTACATTTTTCCAGAAGATCCCTTCTATCCCAGAGAATTTCCCTCCGAGCAGTGTTCTGCTTTTTAAAGATTTAATCATCAAACACTCATCAACTGGGAAAAAATATTTTGGGAAAGAATAATTCAACACAACAGTGAATTCCAAAAATCCCAACTATAGACCGTTTTAGCCCAACCCAGGCTAACTATTTTAAGACTGTTTTACTACTTAAACTGTGTCATTGCAATGGTCTTACTTATAGACTGACTGACAGCCAGAGCTTTTAGACTGTCTAATGCGCATAGACAGCTTTAAGACCGGTTATTGCAATCCACCCATGATCTCAAGCTCCAGTGCAATCTGGTCTCATGGCCCGATGCACAGGGGTAATGATTATGAAGCGCTTCGAGACCTTTGGTATAAAGCGCTATAGGCCTACAGGGAGTGTTACAACTGATAATGTAGTAACCAACGGATAATGTATCACCAACTGATAATGTCACACAAATTGACCGATACTGTATACCGATAATGTAACAGAAATTGACCGATAGTGTAGTAAATGTTACCAAACCATCGGTCAATATTTGTTACATTATCGGTTAAGACCGATAGTGTAGTAAATGTTACCAAACTATCGGTCAATATTTGTTACATTATCGGTTAAGACCGATAATGTAACAACAATCGACTAATAGTGTAGTACATTTTTACCACACTATCGGTCAATTTCTGTTACATTATCGGTTAGTGATACAGTATCGGTCAATTTGTGTGACATTATCGGTTGGTGATACATTATCCGTTGGTTACTACATTATCAGTTGTAACAGGGTGCGTCAAAAAGAAAGTGACTGAATTAGAAAAAAAACATTTTTAAAAATATGTGGCTTGCTCTATTCCATAAATAAACATAGGGATAAAGTACATCTTATTGACTAGTAACTGTGAACATTTTACTTAATTTGCACGTATACTCTATTCCCAAGATATTGACTATTTTGATAAAAAGATCACAAAATTCAGCTCTCCACCACTGATCATACAATGAAACAGAAATGTGTTCCCACCTCCATGAATGAACGAAAACTTGCAAAGGAAACAGACAAAAATCCCAATCAATATTTTAGAAAAATACTGCAAGTGAAACCTGTGCAATCACTCTGGCATGCTGGCAGTTCTTATACAGTTAGTTGGTACGGACACTTGTCAGTGCACCTAACCAAAATAGAGGAGAGGAGAGACTGACGATGACTAGAGCAGGCTAGTCGAAACGTTGAGACCAAAGACAATTTCGGTTAGAACTTACACCAGGACTGTTCTTATCAGAACCAAAAAACTACTTAGCAAAGTTGATAATAAGCAGGACAAGTTCTTTTCAGAACTAAATATCTTCTAAGCAGAAGTTATTACCACATGGTGTTACCGCGAATTGTGTACTAGTGGAATAAAAACCGCAGCGCTGGTGCCAATTAAAACTGAATAGGTTCGTTGATACAAGTTGTTTTCCTAAATGCGCATGGAAATAGACAGATAACAATAGATTTGCACTTGCCAGACCGCAAAAAGTGCTTGTCTGAACCGTCGTCTCATATCACCCAAGCTCGTACTATGCAATTTTTCCCTCATAGTAATATGCACACTTCGGTCGGGACTGACGAAATATGCTCATCTTAACCGAAATCTTGTCTAACCCGTGCTCGTATTAACGAGATTTGACTGTATATACAAACATGTACACGTTTGTATGGTCTAGGCCTGTGAAAATGCTGATTTTTTCCAGCTTCTTTGAGAACCGCTGATCCAAACAACTTCAAAAAAAATGGGGGGGGGGCCAATTTTTTGTGTGTACAATCATATTGAGGTGTCTGCGCGTAGTCAAGGGTAAAGGAAGAAATTGATAATTTTCTGGGTTTTTTCCTCATTCCCCCCCCTAAAAAAAAACAAAATTAGGATATGGGCTGTGAAAATAGGGTAGGTAGGGTAACGGAAGCAGAACTATTATTTTTTTGGCCTGAGCAATACACCTGCCTATTTTCAACTTAATACAGTGCCCGGTTCTGGACATAAGCAAAATACAGACAGACAAAGCGACACAC